TTTTCCATGGTGGTCTAGCTTCAATTGACTCATGATCTCAACTAATGAAAGAAAACTTTTTTGTTTGATTCAGTAATTTCAATAAGTTCTCTCACTTGTGATTAGTATCTTTTTTAAAATCATTCTTCTTTCTTTCGAATAATCTGATCACATACAATATACTCGTTAAGACCATTTATATAAACAAAATAAAAGGTCAACTAGACTAGAAATGAAGGGTTAAAAGGAGACAAGGATAATAAAGAAAACAATTTGAAACCTCATAATTGAAACAGATCGTAAGATTGGTCTTAACTCAGCCTTTGTGGTGTTGTACGAAACTGTAAAAAGGCGAATACTAAAGTTTATTGAAGTCTTAGCTATACGAAAATTCAAACCCCCCTTTGTGCATTCAAAAACAGTCTGTTCTCACCTTAAACCTACCCTTGCAATATTGGCTTATTATCCAGATTGATTAGATTTCAAATTGTGTTCACATTATTATTACTCCTTGTCTCCTCTTATCCTTCATTTCTAGTCTAGTTGACCTTTTATTTTGTATGTATAAATGTTCTTAACAAGTATATGTGTGATCAGATTGTTCGAAATGCATTGCCCTAATATATCATCACACAGTGCTGATAGTCTTCGTCTTCTTATTACACCATCGAAATTTATCAAAGGGGCTAATTGCTTTAAATGTTTGAAATAATTAAATCCATACACTCTTATTAATTCTTTTTATAAAAATTCAGATCAGTTTGACTTGGGACTACAATATCTGTGTTTAAAGGACTGGCGTCATGAAATACGAACAGTTTCATATGAAAGAGTACATACATTTCAATCACTAAATGGATCTGATTACTCATAAGAAATTATGCTGTTGGCACCAAAGAATTTAAATCTCTGAAAAACTCCCAATGTCTACGGAAATCACAGACATTTTGAACAACACAATATTAACCAGAGTTTGAGTAGCAATTGAACTGGTAGTCCAAACAACCAAGTAGACACTGATTCAATGCAATGAAGTTCAACTAAATGAGATGATATGAAATGAACTGAAGATACTCAGGATTAACAGTCTACAGAATCGATAGATCAGTCAGTGAAGCACTGACACACACATGTGTACAACAGTTCAGAACTAATCATATTGTAGTGTTTAGCACTATGACAAGCCCCCATGAGTTATTCTAGTTATCGGAGAGACCAATTTATTAATTCTTGTTGAGTCATATTTTAACCTTGAGTCTCTGCCTTATTTTTCCTGTCTATAAATATTGAGTTACGCTTTAGCAAATGGAGATGGCACACTTGCCTTCTCCGGTCTGCTTCTCCACTTCGTTTCTCTAGTTGTCTGGGCTAACAAGTGCATAAAATATACGTATCCAAAATTCATTCTCGTATTTGAATAATTTTAGTCCGTTATTCTATAACGCGAATTAAATCAATAAATAAATGCAAGGGTTGGTGACATGTTTCGTTAACATTGTCATACGATCGAACCGGAGTTAGATCAAAGGGCAACTAAAACATGAATAGTTTCACTGTAACTTATAATAATTAGGATGACGAATATAGTTTTCATATGATTTCTCAAATATCATAAACATTTCAAACAAACAGAGGTTTTTATAGGCTTGCTTTGTAAACTGATCACAGAACTAATCTCTGGTTGTTTAATCAACAGACATATAAAACTCTAGGACTTCTTGTTAATTTCCTCTCACTATTCGCTCATCCTTCCAACTTTCAGTATCATCCATGTTTACATAACTTAATTTGTCAATCATAACTATTATCAGAATGGATTTTGTGGAGATTTTTAGAAATTTCACAGGTTGAAATCATGAGTCAATTGAAGCTAGACCACCATGGGAAACCTGGAAGCACTGGACGGCCTCTTCTTCCTAATATGGGACTCCTCAGCAGTGCGCATCCACGATTCCGCACCCTGCGGGATTCGGACCCAGGACGTACTGCTTTCGCGCGCGAGCACTTAACCACTAGACCACTGAGCTGGCACCCAACGGTGTTAATGTCTAGCTCCAACCAATCCACGAAGTTGCGCCACCGTACACCATTGTCCTCAGTGAGCTGATATCTCACAACAGACCTGGTTGAACTCCACTGGTAACGGCTTCTCACTAGAACTCTAGGAGTATCTCCTGAAGTCAGTCACTAATGAGCAGTTGATTATTACCAGAATGGGTTTTGTGGAGATTTTTAGAAATTTCACAGATTGAAATCATGAGTCAATTGAAGCTAGACCACCATGGAAAACCTGGAAGCACTGGACGGCCTTTTCGTCCTAGTATGGGACTCCTCAGCAGTGCACAGTGCTGGATGGTTTGGTCGTGGAGCTTTCATCGTCCTTCTGAACGACATCATCAGCACAAACTTCAGGTAGAAGTGAAATGTGCTGATGATGTCGTTTAGAAGAACGATGAAAGCTCCACGACCAAACAATCCAGCTCAAAGAACAAAACTCTATCAAAATCATCCAATTGAGCTACAAATCTTCTCTACCACCACTTGAATTATCATTTTCTTATAAACTTAAAAAAATTTTTTTAGAAGCACAATTCAATACTCAATGATTCTATTTAAAAAAATAAACTGAATAGTTTTCATTTTTTTTCTATACAACATAGATTTGGCAGTAGTTCATTGACATTTCATTCAACTTCAAGTAGAATGTAGGTGACAACGATGGTATGACAACAACAACAACAACAACAACAACAACAATGTACATAGATAAATGTTAACAGAAAGAAAAATGTTGAATTAGATATTTGTCCTTTTTTGTTTTTGTTCAAGTTATGCATCGTGTATTTCTGGTTTATTAACGGCAATATTAAATAAACAGCTTAGATTTACAATATAAACAAAGAAAGTTTTATGTTAAAAGTTCTTTAAAGAATAATATTAAAAAATGTAACATTGTCATTATGTAATCTTGTATTTGTTTAGTACTATTTCAACATTGTACAATATTATTTGTCTTTAAAAACTATTTTGACTTTATTAATATAGGGTGGTGAAGATTATTAAGTGTTTGATTGAGATCATGAACCGATTGATGTTAGATCATCATTAAATACCTGGAAGCACTAGATGACCGTTTCGTCCTATTGTGGGACTCCTCAACAGTGCGAATCCACGATCTTGTTCGTAGGATTCGAATCCAAGGCCTTCGGTTTCATGCAAGAATGTTCGATCTCTAGACTTTGATGAACTATTTCTCTTCACAGACTGTTTTAAGTTGAAAACTTTTCTAGGGTATAGTATGCATAATAAATTTGAATGAAATCTAATATTTTTTTGTTGAAAAATCTTTCCTTCAACTCATAAGTTGTTACAGTATTTAACACATCAGAAGTTACTGCAACTTGTTTCTTTTATTAGTTCTGTATCGGATACTGATAACACTTCATATTAGTAGTAAGGAATTTTTGTTCAATTTATGTATTTCTTAAAATTTATTTTTCGGTTATATTTTTTTCGCTTTTAATCTCTAAAGTATTTCTTTTCTTATCAGTATAACGCATCAAGAACCATCGTGTACGTTAACACATTTCAACTACATCAATAGACGTAACTTCACAACTTTAAGAACCTACTTGCCATCACTATTTTAGTCCAGTGTGGTGTCCATACATTTGTTATCCTCTTTGATCTCGTTTCTTATCAGTTCATTTAACTAACTAAATACATATTCAGGGAAACTTTTGTTTGAGTTCTCAATCCATTCGCTGTCCCCCATTGAGATTAATACTACGAACACTATTTCACTAAATTAGCCTCCTAGAGTTTCATTTAGACGCCGAAAGAAATACACTGTTGGTAATAATGTGATGCGTTCAAATGTATTGACAATACAAAGATATGATGGCTTCAAACAATGGGTTCATACAAGTTTATGCTTCATTAGATTGCTTATAATATTAGACTATCATGTGATTGACTAACAAACACCTCACTTAAGTTCTGTTGGTCATTATACACTCGTCCATATGGGCTACCATGAATTCCTACTTACCATTTTCTACATGTAACAATCTGCATGTCTGTACAACGATACTGTATTAGTTCCATTGACTATATACATATATTTCTTATATGTACTACTTATAATTCATATCCGTTCAATCCACTAAGGTTAACTCAAGTTTATACTGGCTTCGGTCTAATGGCAGTGAAGTTAAGTCCATATTCATTTCTATTCTGATAACTATTTCAGTCTCTGTTGATTTATTAAAATATTTGAATACAATTTCTATTTATTTCGAATTCATATCTATTCTAGTTCTGTTCATTACTGAATTGGTTAAATGTCCGTTTGATCATCAGAATACAAGTTTAATAATATTATAATCGGTGGATTCCGTGTGCTCATTTGTTCAAGATTACTGTTGAAGTGCTAGTTCACTTGCTAGTTTAATCCATTTCTATGAACATTATATCTGATGTCGCTGCCATGTTACAAATACAACACAGTGTTTCAGCGGGGTTTTCTAAAATGGAATATATATACAAATTATATGTTGCTAGTTCCGTCGAGCAACTAGAGGAATATGTTGGGAGATTCAAAAGTTGTGGAGAAGGGGCGCTATTCAGATTAAAAAGCTCGTCTAATCTCAAATCAGACAGCAAGCCTTGTTTAATTAACAAGATTATTAATCCACCATTTCCTGTCTAGAAAAAAACACCATATGTAAACATAAAGTTGACGATGTAATACAATCAAATAACAAACTCTCCTCTAGTAACAAGTCCATTAACGAACGGATAATTAGTATATTATTGAGTCTTCCTGTTGCATTATAGACTCGTATATGAATCAGTTTTAAGTGAAATATCACACAAGGAAGTTGTGAACAGTATTTCCAGTTTAAACCGATTCAAATATAGGATCCAAATACAGACAATCTGTCCTAATATCATATTTACGCTACTGGTTAATAATGTACACGCCGACAAGTAGTATGACTTCAGAGTACAAAAGAAATGGTTAAGAGAGGAGAGATTTGCTCAAAGAACAGTCATTCGTGAAGAGATCTGACACTTGTTGAAGTTAAATCTCTGCATCAGAGTATCTTAATGATTAGCCAGTCAAGCTTGAGATATTTGGTTGTGGATTTTCGCGCGAAATTCAAAATACGATGACTGAGAGCTTATATCATGCTAAAGGTTTAGGAATGCCTACCAAAGTCACGTTGCTGAGACATTTAAAATTGATAAACGTGGAATACTAAACAACACAAAACATAATTTATCAATATTTCAAGGTAAGTAGAGGATGCATTTAAAATCGGGATCTGGTTGTATGAATATTCATCCTTAAGACTGTGCTGGACCAGAAAATGTATAAGCGTGAAAAGTATCAACAAAGTTCGACCTGAGCACTCCATACACTTGGCTAACCCTGATTACTACTAGAAACTCCTAAATTCTAGTCTTAATCCTGACGTTTCTGAGTTTTCGTAGAATAATTTATTTTTTTGCATCACATGCGTTTTAATTAACTTACAATAAGCTTCGTCCTATTGGGGTTTTGCTCAGTTGCTTGTGGTAGTTTGCGAAGTCTACTTTCTACGGCATATCCATCATTAATAGTGTTTCCGAAGAATAAAGTACGTCTGATGTGCGTACACCATAAATATAAGATAGATATACCTAGTCAATACCCATGAGGCACGGAGAATATTAGACCCCCGCAGTTATTTGTGCGTTCAAGGTCGTTGTGGGGGAAGGAGGTAATTTGAATCCTGGGCTGATTTTAATCTGTGAAATGGAGCCTTCATACAGGAAGAACTGTGTAGTTGTGAGTTAGTGGACCAAAGTCCATTAGTTTTCTCTTTAGATCGATGACGACTTTCCTGGGTATTCCGAGAAATGTTTTAACTTGGCTAGCAAGTATGAACAATACATAGAGAGCATAATAGTACCTAACGGTATGATCAAGGACAGGTATGACAAATGTTGCACAGATTTACCGAATTTTAAAGGCTCGAAAGAATGTCAATCGATATTTTAGAAACTTTTGAGTTGCTAAATGCAACTGCTATAAATCTCTTGTGCGTTCTTAAAGGCGGGTTCAAGTTTGCATCAGATCTAAGTGAAAAAATACATAACAGCGCAGTTACACGAAATAAAAATATACCCATCTTCATGGACTTCATCGTTTCCAACACATACGAAGTGAGTTTGGTGTTATTTTTAGTTTCAGAATGATGTCGTAGGTCACGAACCTCAATTTCATACTTACACTAACTTGACATCATTTAAAGACAAGGTAATCATATATAAGACTTTATCAAAATTAACTTCAGGATGTTCTCATAGTTGAAGATTTGCTTGACTCAGGCACTACTCTCAGCAGTCTGGTTCCTTATATTAAATCTTTTGAACCTCGTTCTGTTCTTGTTGCTTGGTGAGTTGGATAATTTGTGTCGTTTATTGTTTCTACTCTCATCTACATTGTGTGCATAAGGTAATTTATTAGTTTTACAAGTTTTCATCAACCTGCTTCTTACTGCCTAGGTTAGCTTGTTCTAGTGAACAACTGACACTTGGTTTTTTGACTTAACCTAATATCTATAATTTCTTATATACCCTTCATTTATAATTTACCGAGTTTTACGATAATAATAGGCACTAAGTTGTTTTGGTGGAATAAATGAGTTAAATACTGAACAAAGAGATTTCTTTCTTGCCCTGCAACAACTCGTGGCTTTTTGATAAGTACAACGAAATAAATTTAACTAAGATGGTATCTAAAATACTACCTTTAACAATCATATGACGCTTATCTGGACACAGTAAATAGCAAATACGGGAAGAGCAGAATGATTTCAAGGCTGGACTTGGATGTCTCAATCATATTTACTCTTTTAGAAATTTAAAGGTTGATATTCTCATCTGACTAGCGATAATTATCGACTTAATAGACCAAGATGTTTCGTGGAATATTTCACTAAGAAATGTCCTGAAGATATATATGAGGCTTTTAAAAGCTATTTATTCAAAAACTAGGTCGAGTTAACGCTAATAACAAACAGACATCGGAACTGCCAAACTCAGGTGCTGTTTGTCATGGTCTCCCACTATCTGAACGTATTGATTTTCGTAGATGTTCTTGTAGGAACATTTTTTCACCTAACTTTACTCGGATTAATCTTCTCGTAAACTCACAAATCAGAATGAAGTACCCTAATGACATAGTTTTATGAGGTGAAGATTGACATAATTCAATCTCCTGAATACCTTGAGCAACAGAGTCAGATTTTTTGGGATAAGTTTCTCTCTTTTTAAATATCAACTGTTGCTTCATGGCTGGTCTACGTCATCTCCTATCTCTGTTATATGTTCTGAACTAATTGAGGACACTCATCACTTCAACTACCTTTTAATTTCCATCATACCTGGTTGATCGATGTTACCAAAATTTCCATACTTATTCAGAAAATCAGCTTCACTTACGCCAATTCGCGTCAGTTAAAGTACAGGTGAGATGTGCATTCGTCAGTCGAACAGTAAGTATACTGCTTGCTAGTCCGTAACTTATTAATCGGTGACTGAAGCGTGGTCAGTGAAAATAAAATACTTTCATAGGCTTCATGTCATTGATCATAGGTTTTTTCGAAGCGGTGTTTGTGTATCGTAGGAAAGCCAAGTAAGCGACCCTGATGTTAGATGTAAGGAGCTAAGCAAATATGAAAATCTTGATGGAGTTTTGTTTTCTCAGCTGTTTGGTTTGGTCGTGGAGCCTTCATCGTTCTTCTGAACGAAATCATCAGCAAACACTTCAGATAGAAGTTAAGCGTTCGATGTTAATTGGTTCTTATTGGCCTTAAATTTGTCATTGTTTACTTCTTTCGAACGCTTCAATTCTATCTGAAGTTTATGCTGATGATGTCGTTCAGAAGAACGATGAAAGCCCCACGACCAAACTATCCAGCTCAGAGAACAAAACTCCATCAAAATCATCTACCTGAGCTACAAATCTCCACCAACTATGAAAATCGGTCGATGAAGTTGTGGATCTTCATCAATTGATTTGGTACGTATGTCAATCCCTCACCTACTTTGACTCTTGGTGTTGGTTGTTATAGAATCATGTTAGAAGTAACCTAGGGAGGGTATACGGAAATGTGACATGAGTTCATGAAGTCACTGACTATTGGACCAGTCAGTCAGTCAGTAACAACGTAGAACTTCGTACGTACGTCAGTTGGAGGTGCCACACCACGTTAGCACGGAGATGCAGTTGTCAACTCAAATTCCGTAGTGGTAGAGGTAGTAAGATTATAAGTAGTAATCGGAAATATTAGGGCTTGAAGATGTTATTCAAGGAGTATAATCCAGTGAAATAAATTTTGACTATTGGACCAAACCGTGCTCGTAGATGGTTACCACACGGTTGGATCTATACAATCAGGGATTTGAAACTGAATGACATGGTTCAGAATCGGTCACAGTAGCGCAGACACATTCAACCCATATCTTCCTCTAGATCTTGAGTTCCAGCATTCTTCCACACATACCTTTTGATTTTTTCCGTAACCATATTTATTATGTTCAGTCTTTCTCACTCGGTACTTTTACAATAATTTTGACTCCTTTGCTCTTCTCGTCTTACTTTGAGCTCATCCTACTGATTTGATACGGTAAAAATGTTAATTCTGACTGATTTCGCTGATACTCTTACTTTGAAGCCACGAAATGTTATACACCGCCTAACTGACATTATTTACGACGAAACAGATGGATGTGATAAATTCTAACTTTTGAGTTGCTCCTTATGTCGATCATTTTGATATATCATGTGGGGGAGTTTTCTGGACGTAAAATTTTATGCATCTTACAGGTAGTATTGGGCTTGGAGACAGTACAGGTTTATTTGATCATCTTTGAACCAAATTGTGGTGTTGCTGGTGTTATCATTCAGCTGCCAAAAAAGATGGTACGAGGTTCAAACTTAGGACCTGCGTTTGAAAGGGAGATTCCTTGACCTCTAAGTTATTGTTATCTCGAATCATAACACTATTGTATATAGGATATGAACACTTCTGGTCAAGACCTTACAAATTACCGAGAATCTCAACTGGACGGATTTATTACTTGATTTATAAGTTGTAACTTTATTATGAGTGGAAGTGCCTAGTTTATCTCGTCAGTTTCGTACATTTCACTGTATGTATCTATTGTACAAGAAGATTTCTGTGTTGACACACGTTGACTATATATTGTAGTCACTTGAGATTTTTATTTTAAGGCGTCACTTTAAAGCTTGTGTCCGTTAACTATGTTTCTAATCAATTTGTGTTGAAATTCATCTCGGAATTTTATATTTACCTAGCCTTATCACCTTTTACTTCCCTACTTATCTAAAATTAGTTTTACTTTACTGCTTTATGTCAGCGAAACTAGAAATAAAACTTGATCACGTCTCACGGAGTGTGAAGTCCACTTCAGCTCATCTATCATTTATTTAAAAAGTTGACTTAAAATAGATACAATAATATTACCATACTTTTAATTTCCTGAACTATCAGGAACATTGACAACGTACTGTGAATTTTGTGTGTATTCACCTGGATTTTGTTTTTATTCTCAGTTTGCGCTTATTAGATTCCGAATTTCCACTCGATCCTGCTGACTAACTTTTTTGGTTGTTGATTACTGGGTTTAGCTCGAAGAAATAAAAAACATTGTTGATTAATTTTTCCTTTCTTAATGTATGTACTAAGCTAGACAAATATACACGATAGAGCTGCAGATTCATGCATTGGTGATACATTATTGATGGTATTCATAAAAATGTCATGAAATACTAAGGTTTAACCGAGTTATACTGTTCAAAAGGTTTTTCCACAAACTAGTACTAAACGTTCAGATCAAAACGCCTCACATTGTAATGTCATTCTTGGCAAATACTGTATTATTACAAGTATACATGGTTCTTTCTGGGTTGTAGGCTTTTGCAAATTTGACTTACTGTTATTTTCTTTTTTGTCCGATAGATTAAACAAATCCAAACAGGTCATATATCGCTGCGAAACCAATCAAATAATACTGCCACAAGGACAAGTGAAAAACGAAAGCTTAGACAGGCTATTATGAGTTGGTGAATTACTTGTCTGACTAAAGTTATTTCTTATGTATCTCTTTCTGAGTCAATAAAGATATATAAGTATGTATATACTTATCCATAAGTTATGTACAGTGAGTCATAAGCAATGTAGAACCTGGCTCACATGTTCATTGGTCTACGTTTCTACACTATATCAGCCCAGCTAGTTATGGGTTATGTACAATTTGATGCTATGCTCAAAGATTAATCCTAACAGTCAGGTCTTAACTAACTAGAGAATGATTGACCTACCCTTCATTTGCCTATGACATCTTATTGTGGTTATCTTGTATTCATATTCAGTAAATAAGCGTTCTATTTTATTATATGAAAAGACTTATTCATCTAACTCGCGGTCTTGCTTTTGATTTCTAATCATTCGGATGCCCAAGCTAATAATACTATCTCGTTAGTACCTGTCACTTGGTCACATTTTGTCATTCCGTCCATCCATCGTTTGGCATTCTACTCACTGATTTTAAGCGCAAAAATTTAGTCTTAATAAATCACAGAAAACCTCTTCCATAAAACGATTTTATTTAACTTTGGTATTAAAGCTTCTTATGCATTCTTAATTGTCTTGCTCTTGCATAGCTAGCGGGCTGGGTCAAGCATTGTGAAGTATTTGAGTGTGAATGAATCAGGCTGGCAGACCATTTCATTGTCTGACTAATATCTTACAATCAGTTTGCTGGTTTGACAAACGTTGTAAATTAATAGGTTCATAATTGTAATCTTGAAATATTTATTCAGAGATTTTGGCTCACTGATTCTTATAAGCATCAGACTAATACTCATGATTATTTGTTTACATGTAGACACATTGAGCAACAATACTGTCATTTTTTTGCGTGAAAAGAAAGCTTTTACTTTAGTAAGATGCAACAGAAATGTGACGTTTATAAATGCATCAAACGTCAAAATTAAAATAATCGTTTTCGTAAACACATTAAGCAGGTATACTCCGTCTAACTTATCTAGGAAAATTCACTGGATTCATAAATTTTACAGTGAGTTTCCTTAGAACTTGTCTTTTAAATGCTTTACTTCGCACTCCCATTGGGATAAAGTGTTTAATGAGTCGAGGTAAACCACCACATTATTGATGTTATAATTTAATACTTGATCAAGAAAATATATTCAGAAAATTGTTATAAAGACAGCATATTTTACAAATTGTCTTCTGTCTTGTCTTACAGTTTGTTGGTAAAAAGAAGACAAGATTTTTCCGAGTTCCAACCAGATTGTAAGTTTAGTTTTAACACGATTGTTTTATGCTGAATATCAGCTCACTTGTTATGTCCTCACAGTTTTTTTTTATAGATGGGGAATATATCCATCATCTGTTTTTTTCAATATCTTACAATATATACTTCACTTGACTCTGGAGAAAGCTAAAGAAGAATTTTTAAATAATATCACATACCTGTAAAAGATTACCACTAATTTGGGCGAATGTCAGGCGCTTTAACCGGGTTGGTGGACATGGAGAGTCCACCTAAGGGAGTTGGAAAACCCTGATTCCAAACCAATGGTGCACATGGGCTCCAGTATCCTGAAGGAACAGATGGCGTATGAACCAATCTTTGGTCACCGGCTGCCATGGGACTGCATCCCCTTACGTTGTCCCACTGCCTTGTGGGTCAGACCTTCAGGTCGAAGGCTCCGGGTGTGGCCCCTTAAGAAAACCACCTGCTTCGGTTTGGGCACTCGAGTAGTATCACAGCCCTCATACATATCAAACGAGATCGGTGTGGCGCATATGTATTTGGTGCCTTTTTGTACCAATATCTATGTGTTAAAATAAATAAATAAATACTTATTTGGGCTATAACTTCATCGTAACTCTTCTACACTTCGTCTTCGTACTATTCTGAGTATGATGTTAGCTAGTGTATAAATCACTTATGGTCCTTTCCTACATGTCTCAGTCGTTGGTTACTTCAGATGGAAGTTAAGGTTCTGTAGTCCTGTTAGATTATTGGTCTAATCAAGGATTTATCGATTATGTTTCAATTACTTGCTAGCTTCTGGGACTTGGATGTTATATTGTATCGTATTATCTTAATTCACTATATTATCTCTAATCAAGCTGCCAAAGTAACTTAAATACATGTAGAAAATTGTCATTGAGGGTGAAAACTAACTAGCGCTATCTGCTAGTGTCTGTTTCTTTTGAACCCTGTATACCATAAGTGTTTTACGAATTATTCTTCCTCCTGCAAATCCTGTAGTCGACTTTGTGACTGTGCAATTGATACAGTTTTGTTAAGGAGAAAGTGGTAAGATACAGGACCCTATCATTACTGTAAGCAAAATTCCGAGGATATAGGAGATGGATTTGGTATCCACCAAAAGGTAACTGTTCCTCAGAGTAGTTCTGGACCGATATTTAACTTAAAGAGAGAGAATGCGATGACTAAGTGTATTCATCGCTTTACTTAAATAAGTAGGAACTGGACTGGACTCTAACAAAAGTTTAGCTCCGTACAATAAAAATAGTTCATTTTCAAAAACCATAATGAATAGAAAAACTAAGTGTGAATGTTAGAGGTTTCGTAACTTAGTGCAAGTCTCTACTTCAAAGAATATGGTATTTACAAAGTCTTTCAATCTACCTGATCTATGTCGTACTGGTTTTCAGTGGGTAATTTATTGTACTGGAGTTCTTCCTGTATTATATGACTGTGAGGTACTACTTATTAATAGATATGCGTAGATTTAATGGATTGAACCTTAATTACTTTAGAAGCATTGTTTAGGTTCAGTAAAGCTACTAAATGAGCGTTACTCTGACTATTCACAACGTTTTAACACAGGAAATGTTGTTCAGTGAAGTGGAAGGCTTGGTTTATTTGAAACAGCTGGGTCACTTGTTACACTAGATAAATTATCATTCACTTCTACGTGTAATGCTAGTTAGATTAGAAATGGTTCATAAAGACACTGACCGATGAAATCCAAGTAGATTCCTAGTGTGTTCTGATTCCAGCGATGTCTAAGTTGTAGATATTTTAAGTGGTGTCATCCTAAGTGCTAATATTTAAGATTTTAAATGACTTGAAGTCAGTCACAATAACGTACAAGGGTTTATATTATTTCCCTTACTTTCCAGAACTTAAACTTATCCCTTGTAGGATTTAATTTGTCCTACAGATATTCTGCTAGAATTGTAAACGAACACCCCGGCCAGTATTGGCAGGTTACATGCAATAGGGATAGTCTACAGACACATCAGACCAGATTGACGTGGTGGGCGCTTAAACAACGATTCGATTGGTTAGTTATGGACATAACTAACGTCCCTTTCAATCATTTTTGTCCATTAATAATTATCATTCTTGTTCGCTTTCAGTATCTTCCTCCTCTTATTGATTTTCCGTTTGCCCTGTTGTGAAATGGGAAAACTTAGATTAATACACAGTTTCGTGCTAATATTCATCATATCATTTATATCTGGTATTGTTACGCTTTCTTTGTAAAATAGTTCAGGAAATTTTATTGACGATCATATACTCTACCAGATACTGCCCTAAACAATGCTTACTTAATTGTTACCCTGTATATCACAACCAAGTTGGAATATATAAAGTACAATTCATTTTATTTTAGATGATCCGCTGGTTTATGTAAGTTGGTTGATAAAGACATCATAAAATGGGAAAGTAGACGGATTTTATTCGTTTAGATCAATCCATATTTGTTTCTAATTGTTACTGACTTTCTTCCATAGCGTATTGTTATTTGAACTTAAACAAAGACTAACTGATATGTGACTTGACGTAAGAAAGAAGTCAAAGACTATGAATAAATATTTAATATGCGTAAAAAAATGGATAAAAAAACCTCTGAATACATTGATTTTTATACGGTTTATTCACCCACTGATCTATAGTCAAGTTTTTCAATAATTGGAACTGGATAGTACTGGATACGAATTAATTAGTATATGTATACACATAATTTATAAATTCACAAAATTAAACTGTTATCATTAACTTACTTACGCCTATCACTCCCAGTGGATCATAGACCGCTGACCAGCATTCTCCAACCCACTCTGTCCTGGGCCTTTCTTCCTAGTACTATCCAATTGTTGTTCATTCTTCTCATGTCTGTCTCCATTTCTCGGCATAATGTGTTCTTTGATCTTTCTCTTCTCCTTTGGCCTTAAGGATTCCAAGTGAGGGCTTTCCTTGTGACGCAGTTGGGTGCTTTCCTCACTATGTGTCCTATTCACTTCCAGCGCTTCTTGATTTCTTCCTTCACTGCAATCTGATTTGTTCTCTCCCATAGTATGTTATCATCAACACATAAAAGTAATTTGCTGACTAATGATATCTACACCTTCATAACACGTTTCAATATTTCAGTTTTCATTTATTGTTAAATTTCAGCTTTTGTTTAATATTTTTAACGTAATCTGCCTAACTGATGATAATTCCAAAAGATAGTTTAAACTAAGTAAATACAGGTTTTTAGTCCTTACAATAATGATGTGTACTTATGGATTAAATTACTGATATTCAGTTCGGTTCTAAATTCAAGTAAACGTAAACTAATTAATGAATAATTATCTGTAAGTTTAATTTATGATCTAACTGTAGATGTCATAGTTCATGAGGTGTCTTCACCCTATAGTCCCTTAGTATAATTCTCTTATGTGTCTTTAATTTCTCCACTGTGACTGAAATACTTGGTATTGTTTGTAATATGATTGTTCATTAAACCGATTATTTGGTTATAGACAATAAAAGTCATTTAGCTTATTTTCATGCTATCAGTCGAATCACTTTCATACAACATGCATGCTATGGATTGTAATATAACAAATCCACTTTTATTCATTGAATTCCATTGTGTATGTAGCATCTTTGGATTAGAAAGACTTCGTTGAATAGATTCGACCGACCTAATGATAGCTTTTTTTCCCATCGTTTTTCTGTAGTTGTTGGTTTTGAAGTTCCAAATCGGTTCATTGTTGGATATGCTATCGACTACAATGATTTTTTTCGGGATATACCAGTAAGTAAATATAATTTTATAAATGTATTATTAACCTTTGATATCAATAATTATCAGCTTCATTAATTTCTAAACATCAATTAATGTGAACGTTGTATTTCAATTACTTTATAACTAAAATCCTCTAATGGTTTTTGGACTTGATCATATTTGATGTTAAAATATTTACAACAGTATTTTTGTACACTACTACTCAAAGATCAGATATAGATTCCTAATAGCAAATGAAACCCATTATAAGAAAGAATTAAAGACAGTTCAATGAAGAAAATCTTTTCAACAAAGTCATTTACTGACGTATTTATTCAGTGACTTCACAAATATACTATTTTCATAAAAAAAACAGAGAGGGTTATGTCACCAGGTGTTTGGAGATTTCAAGTAGTACGAGAAGGTTGTGTAATGAATGATTTAGAGATTAACTAGAAGTAACCGTACGAAAGTAATTAACCGATTAGAAATACGGAAGTCCAGTTGTCCAGTTGATATAGATCGATAGTGTGAAGGTGGTAGTAACAGCTAAATAATAATTCTGAAAAATTAGTAAAGGGCTTTTGAAACTTGATCAGTTTTTTCGTGGATCACTCTAAGTAGATATGTGAACTTGTCGAACAAATAGAATACCAAGTAACTTTTGCTTGTACGCTACTAAGTAGTAGCGTAGTAGTAGTATTGTTATTCTATGAATATAATTTGACAGTTGTCATTATTCTGTCCAACGGCTAGTATAGATGGTTTGACAATCCTGTCGTGTGTAGTTAGTAATTGCATTACATGTTGATGCTAAAACTTAATGATATAACCCTATTTTCCTTAGTGTAAGCTCGTTTCCAATTCAAATCAGTAATGCCACAGTGTAATATACTACTCCTTTAAGTAGTGTATATATCATTAGAGGATCGTGGATACCCACACATTTGGATTACCATGCTAGGACGAAATGACCGTCCTGTGCTTACAGATTTTCAATGGTAGTCTAACATTAATCGGTTCATGTTTCAATAGCATACGTACTTTTTGATGGAGTTTTGTTCTCTCAGCTGGATGGTTTGGTCGTGGAGCTTTCATCGTTCTTCTGAACGACACCATCAGCACAAACTTCAGATAGAAGTGAAGTGTTTGAATTTCTCCATATGCGTTTCACAGCTTGTTCTGTGCACCTTGACGTTGATTGGTTCTTATTGACCTTAAATTTGTCATTGTTTACTTCTTTGTTTTGGTTGTGTCTCCCATTGGTTTGATTTTCCTTCCTATGTTTGTGCATAATTTTCCTGATTGGTTGATAAATTGTATCGATATCAATGTGGTTGTTGGTTGCTGATTGACCTGAGTGCCAGGCTTCTAAAAATTCTCTGGTGTTCTGGGAATTTCCTCTGTCCAAGATTTCCACATTTTTCCAATCGAATGAGTGTCCGCAGTTGTCCACGTGTATTGATATAAGTGAGGAAGTATCATAGCGTTTGACTGCTAACTGATGTTCATGTAAGCGAAGGTGGAGGGGGGGGTCCGCTTTGTCCGATGTATTGTTTCTCGCAGTTGGCACAATTTATTTTGTAGATGATGCTTGATTTGTCTTCCTTTGTTATTTCATCCTTTGGTTTGCATAGGATTGATTGTAGTGATGTTGTCGGTTTGTGTGCCACACCTATCCCGAAGGTTTTTAGCAGTCTCGTTGCGGTTTCTAATATGCCTTTTATGTATGGTAGGGCGATCCTTTTGTTGATTTCTGTGCGTGACTTAGGTTCTGATGCTGCGTGCTGTTGGTATTTTTCGATGAAGTTGATTGGGTAGCCGCTCTTTTGAAATACGTCCTTCAGGTATTTCTCTTCATTTTTTCGTGCTGCCAGTGTGTCATCGCCCCTTTGAACAAAGTGTGTACGCAGTTGATTTTGTGAGCTCTTGGGTTGTTGCTATTGTAGCCGAGAATTTGATCTGTATGGGTCGGTTTCCTATACACTTGAGTTTCCAGTTTTCCTGTGTCGGTTCTAGTGATTAATATATCCAAGAATGATAGTTTGTTGTTTGACTCCTGTTCCATTGTGAACTTGATGTCATCGAAGACGTTATTGATCAGCTCGTAAGTGTTTTCCAGCTCATTATATTTTTGATGATGATGAATGTGTCGTCTACATAGCGAATCCAAATTTTTGGCTTGATCACTTGTAATATTGCGCCTTCTAGTCTTTGCATCACTGCTTCTGCGACCAGTCCTGATATTGGTGATCCCATTGGTGTCCCTTTCGTTTGTTCGTAGATTTTGTTGTTGAATTGAAAATATGTTGTTAGGCATAAATCGATGAGTTCTAGTAGACTTTGAATTTGAAGCTTCGTGTACTTAGTGAGATTTGTGTCGTTGGTGAGAAGCAGGGATATAGTTTCTTTTGCTAACCTTGGTTCAATTGAGGTGAATAACGCTGTTACATGGAAGGATATCATCAGTTCGTCGTTGTTGATTTGAATGTCCTTAATTTGGTCCAGGAATTGTGTGGGGGATTTGATGGAGTGGTTGGATGAATCGACTAAATGTTTCAGTATTCGTGAAATTTCTTTTGACAAATTGTATGTCGGTGTTTCGAGGAGTGCTGCATCTGGACGTAGTGGAATGTTTGGTTTGTGTATTTTTGGTCTGCCGTAGAATCGAGGGAGTACTGGTCCATTGGTCTTGTTTTGTTATTTCCCCTGCTTTCACTAGGTTGTTTAAGGTCTTTGAGATTCGGTTGTTTAACTTTTTGACGGGATTTATATCCATCAGTTTGTATGTGCTCTTATCTTCAAGCAGTTCCTCGGCCATTTTGACATATTCTTCTTTGTCCATAATTACTGTGGTGCGTCCTTTATCCGCTGGAACTATAACAATATCCTTTCTAGTTCTGAGTTCCTTCAACGCCTCACCTTACCTCTGGGTTTTCCGTCTCTGGCGGTAAGGCCTATTAAAGAACGGAGCTAACACGTGAAAAACCTCCCACAAAAAGGCCGTGTCCGACCGGCCTCAAACAGTTGTCTCTTGTTCTCTGTGGTCACGCTCCCAGGTCGTTAAGACCAACACTAATCCAACTTCCTTTTCAGGTCCCACAAGAAATGCTATTCCACAGTGTGGGCAGCCGGGAAGTGACATCAGCCCTCATACCCATAATAGCACACGAAACTAAGTTGGTCATAATCAAATCCTTCCTACACCTCCTAATAATTCTCTGATTAGTTCTCCGAATTACACCTCTTCTACTTATTTTTCAATATATAATAATCATATATACCTTTATAGATCTTTCTTGTAACAATAAATTCAAGTAGATATTCTATTTGATAGACAACATGAAACATCTTAGTGATATTGTAACCACGTCTCATTCCTAAAATTACACTTCAATCAATGCAATATGTTTCACACTAATCACCAAATAGTTTACACTTTACCCATCAATCTATCCTGCTATTTTCTTCATACACAAGAAAAAAGAACAAAACAAAACACACTACTTAATTGATTAATATTTTATAAAAATAAATAAGTTTGACGTAATTTTATTCATTATTTTCATAGAATATCTTTCTATTATACATTTAGCATATATGTTCAATCAATGATGAAGCGAAGAAAATATTTGCCATATCGAAATCAGATAAATATGCTAAATAAAGATTATTAAAACAAAGTACACAATTTGGAACTTTGCTCTTTTTTTTTATCTCTTACTTACTACAGTATTTCCAATATAGTTCAACTTTATTTAGATAAGAGTTGGAGATTTCTAAATAGATTGACTCTATTTTATCCACTTATTCCCTTGTATACTGTTAGATTATTATTTTTTTTTCGAAAGAGATCACTTATTTTTTTTCTATTTTTTGTCTCTTAAGTTATGTATATGTAGTAAAAATCAAAGTGGTTTAAATAACTGTAAACTTATATTATTGTACAGTATGCTTAGACACTATTGATTTTTGCAAATGTTAGTTGTGTTTATGTTTCAATCTTTTTTTTTATTGGTTCGTAAAATAGGTTAGGTTTATTGGAGTTATTTGTAGGGAGATTTTGTTTTATGTATGTACATCACTAATGTAGATGACCTGGGTCGAATGATTGGGGGGGGGGTGGGCTTACTAGAGTGAGATGGGGATGGTGTGACCAACTAGCTAACGTCGAAGTTACATCTTGCAGTTAGTACCTAACGTGGGTTATCCTTTCATGGTATTCAAGTACTATTACTGCTTTTGTGACCGTATAACACAAATGACGTCACCATAGAGTGTCACCACTACTGCCTGGGTTAGTCCATGACTTGAAGTCAACTGATATGCGTCGGTCGTCCTGGACTTTAACGAGGACCGGTGGACTGTTCGATATTTAGTGATCCAACTGCCGGATGATTTGTCTAGGACTCAGTGACATTTCACTGGCTCTACATATAACTTACCGTATGAAGTTTTAAGTGTCTATCGGAAGGCACCTGAGGTATAAAGCCTACAAATAGGCTCCTTCAGGAAGACCATTGATGCTTTTGAACAGATGAACCTAATACTGACCTAAGTATTTCAGTAGTTAACGTCAAATCTTAGAGTGCTAGTTGTCGGTTGGTCTGGTCTTACCCATTTTGGCATTCCGGCTGGTATTAATTCACGACATCCTAACTCTAAATCCTATGCTTCCACATTCATATCACGGTTGTGACCCTAGTAAGTAATGGGAGTTTCTCATGGCCTTTTTAGTATCACTTAGCAATCGTTAGTAAATCCGAGCCTTGCGGTATGATTAATACGGTAGACTGGAATGTTTAATTTAGTAACTGTCCGCGTAATCGATAATCGCGTGGGACTTGGTGTGCTATGTAGATTGGTTACGGGATTCGAAAAATGGTGAGAATGGAACAGATAAAGTGGAAGGCTATTTTTGTCATTAAATGTGCGTAATTTTTAAACGAAAACTCCAACTGTGACATTATTGTCACTTGTTACTTATTTTCTGAATTCTCCAAGTGACATATTAATAATGTTGTAAAAATGGACTTCTATCAGAACTTCCAGGTAAATGATTTGGTACTACAAGAAATTTATTCAACACATGTTTGTAGTAAGAGATGAAAAAGACACTTAATCAATGCGCGTTCAGTGTCGTATCGTGATAATTTTTAACAAAAACTGGGTACTAGAATAAGGAATTATTAATTCTTGACAATGCTCAGCCATTTATAATGGAGAGGGTATGGTAAGTTGATGAATGAGACTTAACATGAATTGCTTTCATTAGACTGAATGTAATTCAGTAATGTCTAGATCAATTACAGAACGGAACAAAGGAGTGTAGGAACGGAACATAAGGACGGTCAAAAGTAGGCAGTAAAACAAATTGGTGTTGACTTATCAGTCGAAATTCTAGAACGTAGTAATTGGCTATAAAAATAACTTCTCCAATATTTTCGTATAATTTGTAACTGAACCTGGAGGACATCTAGGGATACGTTTATGCGGTATTTGTAAGAACTATAGATACATTTGTACTTGATTGTCAACTAATTATGGATCCCAAATACAATACGTTTGTTTGTGCTCACCTAGTTCTGTTTAACCTGAACTGTTTTGGGAATTTCTAATTAGTATAATAATTCGATGGGGTCCTCATTTGAACAATTGCATGTACATTCAAATTCAGAAGTTTTCGAGGACTACATGGAAATGTTTGGAATCTGGAGTATGACGACGAAAAATGTTAAGGGTGGTCCCTACAGTCTACTCAAAACTTCGGCATATCCATATAAGCCTGTCTCACTTCCCTACCCAACTGTCAAACAACTACTATTAAATGATGTAAATTGGCTAGTTTCGAGTGCGAAATTTTCAAAATGATTCGTCAGGAAAACCGGCAGGTCAGAGGATTTATCTTCGAATTGCAAAACAAGCAGCCAAGTGTAATTTTGGTGATTAACTTCGTGTACAGCTTCGTGATCGATTGACTGGAGGGATTACCACACTAAATCTGGAAAATGATCTAATCCATAGACCGAAATATTGTTTCCAAGATGCTAGAATTGAGTATAATAATGATGAGGCAGTGCATGAAACTGGCTGTCAGGACGCCAAGAATTCTACCACATTACTTAGTTATCCTAATCCGATGCGTACTCAAGGTCACACAGATGAACGTTTAATTAACGATAATCCTCGTTCTAGTGAAAACATGGATAATCATCCATTGAGAAGTTGCAATACAAGTTATAGAGGTGATCACATGTTCTGTGAATGTTTATTTCGTGTTGGCAGGGTGATTGTATACAATCCCAGGACCCTGATCATTCAGCGTTTACATCCAATTCACAATCGGCCAGACAAATGATGTACCTAAGGAGAAGAAGCACAGTTGTTTGTAGAAATTTGGATTCTCATTTAAGCTGTGGCGGATATTTTGTTTGCATGAACTAGTGATGTCTTTGTACTTGATGACTGCCTGGTTTCGAAGTCCAAACACATTACGTTCGTTTGTGTTCACCTAGTTGTTTGTGGCTTGAATTACGTTATTCCTGCGATTCCTAGTTCGTACAATAATCCAAATACTTCTAATTATCACACTTTATCCTGTGGTAGATTCTACATACTTATTCATGTATCTTTCGTCATGATAAACCCCTTACGTGTGGTAAAATGGGACAAATTTAGTCGGCTTATAAACCTACTGTTTATTTCGACACATAGAATGCTGAACTTTGTAATTCGGGTCCCAATGGTCTAAGTAACTAATAATCACATACTAGCCTCATTTACATCTTCCAGTAATTCATTTCATATTCAAAAACAAGTATGTCTGACTAGTGGCGCTCTTCATGATATTTTGTTTACACTGGCAGTATCATGTCCATCATCTAAATTGGAATATTGAGGTCATAAAATCACTGTGCAATAATTAATCCCATCAAATTTCCTATCTTAGGTATTACAGGTTATGAACCTCCTATTCTTTGGTATCGTAGTTTGCTTATCAGATATATTAAATCTTCATTCATACATTGTGAATTCCTCATCAGTGGTCCTAGTTCCAGAAAATTTGAGAATACTTCAGGGACAACTAATGTTTGAAAACTTGCTGACTATGGAATGGAGATGTGAAGAATCGCTCATGACTTCAAAGCCTCATTCTCATGAGCAAGCAAGAAATTTAAAGACTGAAAACAAACATCACTTCCATTACTGCTACAAACTTCAAAGACACGGAGAAGAGCTTAGATAAAGTCTTTCAGTGCAGAATTCCCAGACAGTACTGTGGTGTTTGAATTAGCTAATGATTCTTTTGTACTTGTTGAATGCTGGATTTCGAATTCTTAATACAATATATTCTTTTGTGCTCATCTAGTACTTCTTGATTCAATTGCCTTATTTCGGGGATTCTTAGTTTATACTACGATTCAAATAATTCGAAATACCGAATTGGCGTCGCGAGCAGGATCCTGTGATGGAATCGTTGGGTATACATTCAGATCTTGATGCTCTTGAGGATTACTTTGAAAGGTTCGAAGTCTGGGCTATGACTAAGGAAGATGCTGAGGGTGTTAATATTGTGGCACATTTCCTCACATTCATCGGAAAAGAAGCATATAGCTTATTAAGAACTCTGGCTATGCCGGGAAAGCCTATCTCGCTTCCTTATACAACTCTCAAGGAACTGCTACTAGACCATGTTAAGTATACAAATTTCGAACGCAATAAAGGAAGATTTCGTAAAGTGATCCATGAAGATATAAAAAATTCCGGTACATTACTACGTCATCCCGACCCAGTACATACACAAGGCTGTGTAGATAATTCATTGAGGAGTTGCAATGCATTTCACGAAGATGGGCACAAGTTTGATCAGTGTTTGTCCTGTGGCTTGTTCCACTTTTAATTTATGTAAATTTCGTAATTTCAAGTGCTTTATATGAGGTGATATTGGACAATATTCAGTCAGTCTGTAATACTAATGTTCATCTTACTGCAACTAATATTAAGTCTTGTAATTCTGATTCTACTGAGTCGAGTATTCATAATGATCATTTATCTTTATCAACGATTTTAAAAGACAATATAGAGTCATATAACAGTTCAGAGTTAAATGAAATTCAGAGTTCTTGCGAGACAACAGTTCTTGATTAACCAACTTATCAGAATTCCCATGATATTGTACCAGGTATGGCTTTTCCTAATGATTCACATATTTCTGATGAAATCCCCTGCAAATCTGAAGAAAATATGTTGAGTGAACATAATTATGATCGAAAACCTGATGTAGTTTTGATGGATGCTGATTTTTCTAATGATCCTTTACTCTGCAATGACATTCTTAATAAATTCGAGGAAACTATTTCAGAAGAGTCAAAGCTTGATGTCATACCAAATATTATTTGTCCTCATAATGCACTTGTTTCTTGTGGGAAACGTGTTCATTGCGAAGCACGAGTACTAAATGACCTCGATTTTGATTACAATTCTGATGATTTCATATCAACTGTTGTTTATCCTTATCACAAAGTCACTTCTAATGTTTACTCTAACCAATGTGAGAAATATGTTTTAAATGAAGCCACATCATTCATAACTTGGGGATATAAAGATCCAACATTATTTCGTGGTGGAGGATAGTGTTGAAAAATCTATGGTTCCAATTCTAGATATTAATGATTTCATTACAAAATCGACATGCTGATTGTATACAATTTCAGGACCCAGGTGAGTCTGTTCCGATTTCAGTTGTTAATTGTAATACTAAGGAGTGTATTCTAGATAATACAGAGTTTTTATCCAATACAATGTCCGACAGACTCAGGATGAACTTAAGAAGAAGACGTACAACCTATTACAGACAATTATATTCCAATTTAAGCTGTGGCGGATGTGGTGTTTGAATTAACTTGTGATTCTTTTGTACTTGTGGAATGCTTGATTTCGAATTCTAAATACAATACATTCGTTTGTGCCCATCTAGTACTTCTTGATTCAATTGCTTTA